ATAGGAGGATACCAGCTGTCTGCTACCCTCGTATCGTATCATACTCTCTACCTGCGGTCTGTTACCCTCCTATCTCCCCACACTTTCCCAGCTGTCTGCTACCCTCCTGTCGTTCCATCCCGGACGCTGCTGGTCGTTGGTAGACGCTGCCAGACGCTAGATCGATATCTACACTTTCCTGGTCGCTGACGCTGCCGGACGCTCGGAACGCTGGTGGACGCTATTGGTTGCTGGTGGACGCTGCCGCAAAGTATAAACGCAGCCTAACGACCCTGAGGCCCTTGTTTCGTGTGGGTCGAGTTGGCTGACACTATTTCGTAGCCCACGCTGCTTTATTTATGGTTGATAACAACTGTGTGATAACAACAACATTCAGTCCCTCCTAACACCGTCCCGACTCTTGCAATCAATCGGGGCGGAATTAGGAGGGGCGGGATGTGCCGGCTTCCGGCTGCCTTGCTCTACCAATGGTAGTCAGTCAGTGATCTATTTAAGAAGAAAGCAATCATTGGTAGAAAAGCCGCGGGTGAGCTCGTTCTAGACTTCCTGAAACAGTCCGACAGATTGCGACAATGTCGACTGTACACGCTGCCTGCGTCTCCAACTGATTCGGCAGTTGTCTACCGCCGCTGCGCTCAAATCTAACAATAAGTCTGTGTACATGCCCTTCGTACGGGATGATTACGTGGCAACTAAAACTCTTGGTGGGGGTCTTGCTGCGAAAGGAGAGCGCACAGAAATAAAGAACTAGGCACGTCAGGGCATCGAGAGGTACATGTCGCGAGCCAGGAGATGACTTTTTTCTGAGGGAGAGGACACCGGGGTGGATGAGCCACTTATTATGCGTGAAAAGTTGGAATGTGAAAGGTCAGAAGTGGCCATAAATCGCCATTCAGGCAAGAGAGCGCAGAGAAAAACAGAAAGTTGGCGCCATTGAAATGACTGAGTTCCAGTTATTCGTGGACCATACGGGATAGGAACTGCATGTAGCGATGACGGGAGTAAATGGTATGTAGTATGATCTCAATAGATGTGCTAGAACGAAGTAATGCTCAACAGAACTGCAGCCGCACATCTTCTAGAGCCCACTTCAGTTAATTCAATCGAGTTCCTGCTCAATGGCAATGATCTACCAGCTCATTGATGATGGTGGAGTGGTCTACAATCGCATTTAATGACGGAGATGTGATAAGTGGATCAGAATCTTGCCCTGGAGTCAAGGCACAATCTTCCGCTGCATACCAGGCATAGGCGTTGCAAGCGGGGTGATGTACGAAGCCTTTGCACCAGGACCCAACTCACTAAACGTGGCAGCGGCGCTGTCGACTGTGTCCCTCAAGACAGCTCGTACTGGATGACGCGACTAGGAAGAGAGTCAGACCCCCATGCCAGCAGTTTTTAAAAGTGATTCCAGTGACCGTGCGGACCGCTTCGCTTCCGCTCGCTTATCTCCCATGTATCAGCACTGAGTCCTGTTCTTCCATGATACTTCAATGGTAATATATTGCTTTGCATTTGCATTCTGTAAAAAAAGACTGCTCACCCTTTTAACAGGAGATGGCGGCGTCATGACATCAATTTCTTTTTGTATTGTTAATATTTCTGACTCTTCAGCATCGATCGAGAAGGATATCTCTGGCAGAGGAGGTTCTAGATCACCAAATCAATGATTAATACATAATCATAAGGCATCTACAACACCCACAATATTATTGACAACCAACCTTCTTTCTTGGGTATAAACCGCGGCGGGGATATTGGCGGTGTTATCCGTGCCATATGCGATACTGTTCGTGATGTTGTGGTAGTAGAAGTCATAGTAGAAGTAGTTGTTATAGGGACAGGGGCCACCTCTTCTACAGATTCTGCAGTTTCCGATACCTGAAAGTATAGTATGCGAGATAGCTTGCAGTGAAGACAACTTTTTAAGACCATTTTACCTGTTCATAGTAGTCCTCAGACGGTGTTCCGGTGTTCCCATCGGTTGAGAAATCCACTTTTGGAAGGCCTTCTTCACCGTCGGTGAAATCAATGCCGAAATCACCATCTTCCGGTGTCAATTTGGAATTCTTCTCTTTAGCTGAAATGAATGGTGATTGGGGGGAGGAGTGTCAGGAGGGCGGAGTGGGACCGCTTGCGGCTGTCTTGCTCTACCAATGGTGATCGGTTGATAATCGATTCAGGAAGAAAACAACAAGTGATAGAAACGCCTAGGGCGGTCTCAGTTCCTCTTGAAACCGCCCTGACTGATTGCGGCGATATCAACTGTATAAGGATGAAATCTCTTTTCTTTTTTGTACGTTATCCATCAGCCATCACGATCGCACGCGAAACTTATTCACGATTATAACCGTAGCGAGGGAGAATCGCACAAACCCTCAGGATAACTCGAATATATCCGTTCGGGGTACATCGGTACAACAGTTCGTATGGAATTCGAGCAATCCCAACTTCGCATATGGAATGTGTTAACGGAGAAGTCACGAGCTGCACCTCTCCACCATGCTTATGAATTATGTTGTTTTGTTGGACGGCATTTAGAGTCCTTTCGCTGAAGCGGATAAGCGGCAACTGGAATACGACTGAACGACATGTTACAGCCTCGCTACTTGCCAAAAGAAAAACAAAGAAAAGGGACGAGCTGGCGCTGCGCGAAACCCATCCCGCCTCACACTCCTCCCCCCGTTTTGCTAGAAGGTGGACTGAACCAACACGTGCTATGGCGATGAAGATCTGACGCCACGGAAATCCAGAATGGCAACGTAGTGGCTTGTCTACAGGGTGCAGTATCGTTGTATAGCGCATAGAGGGGGAGGTCGTACTGAGGGTCGTGTCTGGTAGTTGTTGGGAGAGGGGGGGAGGGTCGTATGTGGCTTTGAGAGAAATTTGGGAAAAAAATTTTCCGATTGTTGACTTTTCGTGATTTTTCCTTTTTCATGTGTCCTACTTCCATACAGAGATTTTTTTGGTAAAAAACTGGAAAATGTGGGAAATTGGTAGGTAGGTGCTGGGAAAGGGGGGGGGCGGGGTCGTTCCGAGACCCTCCCCTAGGTGGGGGGGTCGTACAGACACCCTCTCTCGGAGGGCGGCACTTATACCACCATTTCACACATCGCGATGCTGTAGCCTGTTTTTGTACGCCCCACCGGTCCGCAACGATGAGGACTTGTCCCTTTTTCTCTCAAGGTCAGTCTTAAAGGCAGCGCCCGCGTTCAAATTTGATGAGTATGCGGCTCAGGTAGTAATAGCAAGGTAGCAAGAAACCTATTAGTGAAGAAAAATCAAAAAGAAAACATGCAAAATGCCCTATAAGGAGTTTCATACCGAATAGCGGTTGTACGTGCTTAAGGCGAAGAGAAGGAGTGGTTGCACGAGTTCTCACTTGTTGATTTCAGCTGTTTATCACCTCACTCTCACCACACGACGTGGAGAGAAGCAGCAATGGAACAACCGCACCATCAGGCAACCATTAGAAATGAAGTTGGGCGTCGTGGTCGCCAGGTGGGCGGGGCGGTCGACTCTTTACTAGCGATAGGCGCTATCCTCTCGCCTTTGTGAGATGCAAAACTAGTACATACTGCATCCTTATGGGGAGGGCTATGATACCCAGAAAGGGCGTAGGAACATCAAGTGAACGTGGGCGCTGCCTTTATCAGAACGCAGGCGACCAGAGTTAGCGCAGCCCAGTCTCGCACAGTGGACATGAACTCGTGCGCCCTTTGAAAATCGCAAAATGGTCATCATTCCATAACCAACCAACATTGACTGTGACTAGGCTAAAGTCGTCGCAGCCAACCCCTCAGCGCGCGGTCGCTGTGACGTCTTCGGGGCGAGCAACATGCTCACGCTCTTCTTCATATCTTGATGTTTCAGTAAGGAAGCGCGTAAAACTATATAGCAGTCCGGATATTACTCCAGTATTAAGGCCAATTAACATCTAAAGGAAGTTGGCACGATAAATCCCTGAAGACGAATAGGATTAGCCCTGACAGGACGGAATTCCGCGCTCCTCAGCCTTTATAGGGGCCCTATTAAACTAAAACATACCGACCCGGACGTCCACCGCGCCCGCCCGCCCGGAAATGGACGACCACACCCGATGCTCTTATGCTTTATTTGCGAAATAAAATATGAAATTAAGGAACTGACTTGTAGCGGCCGCGGTGCTGCATGGATATACACGTACAGCCGTGCCTACCATAGCGGTTAGCACGATACCTACGGGGAGCTCGTCCGGAAACACTCCCCGAAAAGAACGAAAGCTTTTTTCGCCTTTTGACCGTTCCGCCTCGTTTCTCCCATTTTCCCCTTTATAGCACCCTGCTAGCATTTTTTAGACCGGGTACCGAATTATAATACCACATGCCTTTAAACAGTAGGTTGAAATGGCAGATGTAATTTAGTGTGAGCCCATTTTTTCAACACCGAAGGTACCTACTGAACAATTTTGGCACTATTCAACTATTACTACCCCAGTTTTGCGAAAACAGGCCGGATCTTGATCGACTTTTTTCTACGGGGGTGGATTTGGCTGAAAGTTGGGTTCTAGGGGTAATTCGACCTCCTGAACACGAATATCACATCCACTTGGCCTGAAATTGCCTGGCGCCCGCGCCATAGGCGCCAGTGATTTGGGGCATTTTGGCGCCGGCGCCCGTAGCGCGGACGCGGAGCGGTTTCAAGCCGAGGGAATGTGATATTCGTGATTAGGAGGTCAAACTACCCCTAGGTACAAGTTTTCAGCGGATTTCGTGATCTAGGGTACTTTGGCGCCGGCGCCTGTGGCGCGGGCGCCAGGCGGTTTCGAGAGGAGCGGATGTGATATTCGTGTTCAGGAGGTCGAATTACCCCTAGAACCCAACTTTCAGCCAAATCCACCCCCGTAGAAAAAAGTCGATCAAAATCCGGCCCGTTTCCGGAAATCTGGGGTAGTAATAGTTGAATAGTGCCCAATTTTTGAACTGCTGACAATAGTTCAGTCCTATAAGAAAAAAAATCACAGAAAAGCATCTCGTGCTTGAATGTAGCATAACAATATTTTGCTCACCTTTTGCTGATTCCTTCTTTGCCTCTCCCAGAGCACTTCCGAATAGTTCCTCCATGCCGGTACCAGCTGTGAACTGCGAAATCAATTCAGGATTCGACAAAAGATTCCCGATAGTTTCCCATCCATTCGGATCATGTATCAAGCTGAGTGCAGTCTGAAACTTTGCTATTTTGTTTTATTATTCAGCAAAGGAAGGCAGCAACTTAATGGCAAGGGTCTCATAAATACTTCATATAGCGGACGAGTGCAAATTGTTCACCCGATCTTGGCACCCCACCTAACGAACAAGCGTAGAGTGTGCTTCAAAACCATCCAAATTTCACAACTTTTTGAGCTGTTCTGCTTAGGGCAGGGGTGCGGGGGAGGGTGGGTGAAAGGGTCATTTTGCAGAAGACAGCTAAAGTTATTCGACTGAAGACACCGACGGAGGTTCTCATGTGGGCGGGGCTAAGTACGACATCATTGGCGCACCTTTATTCCTCCCGCTTTCTTCACCGTCATAGAAGGCGGGACAAGGAGAGGTGCTCCGACGACGTTCCCTTGAGCCACTCGGTGATCCCAACGATGTTTTATTTGCAGTTCAGTTCATCTGAGAAATCAACCCAGTAAATCACCTGGAAGTTGCTGAAGAATTCGGATCTCCTGAATTTATCGATCGCTTTGTAGATGTCACCACAACTGAGTCGATTGCATAGTCCAAGAAACTGCAAGAAAAAACATCTGATGTGGATGTAGAGTACAGAAGTAAGTTTCGACGAATATTGCAGCCAAAGGAATGAATTCGGTATTTTTTTACGCATTTTCTGAGCACCAAATATCAGGTGATACCAGTGGTACCCCCCCCCCCTGAGATAGAGCATGTTTTTCAATCAAGGCTTCTCATAAAAACCTAATCTTCACGACATTAAACCTATCGTTCCTTCAGTAACGCTTCATAGTCGTCATTAAAACAGAACCTCGGGAAGTTCAGGTCCAGGATCACCGAATGTCTCACTATCGGCTCCTTTGAATAAGGCGTCGACTATTCGTTTGAAGTCGAATGAGTTGCCTAAAATCCATCTAAAAGAAAATTCAGTCGAAGGAAAATGATTGAAAAGTTTTCCTGATCGTAATGAAAAGTGTACTGCTCTCACTGTTGATTTTCCCTGACGAATCGCTCATCGGCGACGGAGAGATTTTCTTTTGTTGATCGAGCATTTGAAAAATTCCTGACAGGAGCCCACGGTCGCCAAAGAGAGTCCCCGCCCACTCTTCCTTAGATATCACGTTGCCATTTTGAGCGGAGGAACCTGGAATCCGAGAAACTACGATTTAGTGGTGCTATTTAATACATCGTAATACGGCGACTGCGGCGAAGCAGTGCTATCGCTGGGGTCACTGTTGGGCAGTTCATACTTTGCGGCAGCGTCCAATAGCATCTCCCAGCGTTCACAAGCGTCTGCCACCGTCTAGCAGCGTCCGCCACCGTTCACCAGCGACTGATAGTAAAGAGTACAGGGAAGTAAGAGAGTACCACAGCTTGCTCAGGTGTCCTGAATTTGCCGCCTGTGCAACCGCACCGCACAAGTGCCAAAGCACAGGATCATACAATTTAATGTACGGTGTAGTGTAGTTGTATGGTGTTACACACGCCGCAATTTCACGACGCCCAGCTGTTTGTTACCCTCCTACTTCACCATACTCTTTACTCCGGTCGCTGGTGGACGCCGGCAGACGCTGGAAGGCGCTAAATCGATATCGTTATTTTCCTAGTCGCTGGCGCTGACGCTCGGAGCGCCAGTGGTCGCTGGTGGACGCTGATAGACGTTGCCGCGAAGTATGAACGCGGCCTTACGCAGTCGCCCCAGCTGATTCAACGTGGTATGACTGCGGTGTTCAAGTCAACTAGCTAGGAAATATTTAGCTGGTTTGCTTGTTATGCCGCACTTGGATGTGAGGAATTTCGTCAAAAAAATGGTCCTACCTAATTCCCCATGAATTACTGGCAATGCAGAGGCATTTGGCATTCGTTGGGGGTGACAGTAGCTAGGGGTTGCACGGACGAATGTATAGTGTAGTTCGCTGCGGACGGTTGGGCGTGTCAGGCGGGATGAGTTTGGCGCGGTGCCAAACCCGTTCTCCACCAGTTGTTAAAGCGAGCAAATGATATGACTGTATCATATCGTTCGTATTACTCGTTTTCTACCACTTTTTGTCGCATGCGCGCTTCAAGGCAGAGAACGGCTTTGACGGCGTGACACACTCATACTGCTCAACACGCCCAACCTTCCACAACGAACTAGAGTATAAACGTTTTTGTCACCTCTTGAAAAACTCGATGATAAATGGCACAGGCAAAGGTGCTTTGTATCAAGCTATTTTTCGTCACACACAAAGCTACACGTTCTTCTTCCCGAACAATGGTGTGGCGAACATAAATCTTCAGCGCTGTTCTTCAATCATTGATTCCAAAGCGCTGAACTTTACGACGCCTATTAGAACTTTTTTCGGTAGCGTGGACCTGTTGTCGCTTTCATCTCCAGCATTTGGAACGTCAACAATAGAACCTGCGCCGAGCTGCGTGGATCGATAATTACCCAATCGGAATTCTTTACTTCCAGTTACTTCGCTCTATCGTAGTGAAATATGCTAGTAGAAACCGAAACCGATGAAAAAAACTAATATAGGTGTTGAAAATGCAGTACTGGAGAAGTACAGACCTGAACTGATCCTCGTATCACTCTGCGGTGGAACCTTGAAAGTGTCTGGCTGCTTTATTGATATTCCATCTTGGTTTGGGGAAGATGACATTGAGAACCTCCTCTGAAAGTAACTCTTTTTCATGATTAAGTAATTCTAGCAGAAGTTCCATGTAGCTCTGAACTTTCATTCAAGTTGCTGCTGGGCAAATTTTATGTAGGCAGTGAAAGCTAAGACCTGGTTGAAAGCCCTTTCTTGGAATTTTGTAACTACGTAACAAATTAATATACTGTAGCAAAAAAGGTGTAATTGGGTGTAGAACTGCGCTTCTGTTGTAAGAGCTTCACTGGATTGTAAGAAGAGCTGAATATTTCAGAAAAAATATATGTAGATCACTTGTTGACTATAATATATCTAAACCGTCAAATTACTCACACTGATAGCTGTTGCAAGTTTTCTTGCACTATAGCAGCTGAAGTCTTGTTCGCTGCGGATGCTGGGGCATGTTAATGAGCTGGGTTCAGACTGCGCCGACCTGCTCCCTCCAACTGTGCATGCCAGCTTCCACAATTAGTTTGAGAATGGATTGGCGACGCACCAAGACAACCCCATCCCAAATTTCTTCTACACTGGGACCTGTCCTCATCCTATCCACCGTGTTCATAAATGTTCCCAATAATCTACCACTTTTTTCCTGCTTTCCGAGAAATTTCCCAGTTTCTTCCAAATTCGGGCAGACACACCTCGCGAATGACCCACCTCTTCCCAATGACCAAGTACGCCACTTTCCTGATGAGATTCTCCCAAAGATGCTACCTTACATGCAAACCACCATAGACCGCCCAATAAGGGACCACCAGGATGGGTGGTTAAAGAAAGAAATTTCGACCTAAGTGGAACTTAAAGTGAAAAGCGGATTATGTTCTCATTTGAAAAGCCCCATAGAATTTCGTGAAACCAACCCTGCGCGCAGCACCGATGGCAGTTTTCAGTTGAAAGAGGTCAAATTTTGGAGTTGCCGTTCGTATATTCCAAAGACTTGTTTGGAAAGCGATTCATGTGAAGCGAGGTGAAGTGGGGTCGGTCAAAGCGAGACACGGGCAAGAGAGTCGTGTTTGCCGCTCCGTCGCGCGCGGCGATGGGCGCGACGTTTTCTTAACTCGTGTTAACCTGTCGATTGGAGCACCGGACTTCATGTAGACCCCGTCGTAGATATTCATGACTATTTTCGGTCCTGAATTGCCTGTTGTCGCTATCTACTATCTGGAAACATTGTCGCGGGCGCGACGTCGCTCTCAACGCCTACCACCGCGGTAAATTATGATTCTCTTGGTACATACCCGGGTCGAAACTACATTATTTCGGTGCCAATCGATACTGTCAAAGATGCATGTCCCTTTCATGGGGCCTAACCATTACTGAGCGGATCAGGAACTTAGCCTGACCAACACTCGAAGTCGGTCCTAATGTGTTAGTAGCTACGGCCTTCATGATAGTTGACCGGAAAATCCGCGTCAGCTAGAATGACCTCAATAAACGCTTTGGGCTTTTCTTTGTTCGTCTAAGCGGAGAGTAAAGAAACAAGACAGGATAAACTATAGGGAATGGTGATGACCCTTTTGGGTTGCGTTGGTTCTGTACAAGGCTTCCGTGGCTCGATCATTAAGCAGTGTTCCATTCTTTCATGAGATTCAAGTTTTAGCCAGCCATCCCTAGTTAACGGCCCTGGCCTGGGTTCGACATACGAATCGTTCATACGATGGAGGCGCTCCTTGCCACCTTTACGGTACATAAGAACCTCCGAACGGGTTTATGACATGGAAAAATTTCCATTTTATAGCGCCACCTACCACACTAGTCATAAAGCTGTTCAAGCGACAACGCTGAAGAACGTAGGGGTACGGACTTTGTCACAAACCTGCCGGTAACATCTAAAGCTTTTCAACCTGGATTTACAACATATCTGACGCTCCTTCGGCTCTTTGCAATAGCGAGGAAGAATTCAATGGGACACCCACGCAATCAGCAAGGAAATTGATTTAGATGAATGTAGAAAAATTGTGCTTGACTTCAAAGGATGGGACTTCAGGAGTTATTGAAAGTTTGATTTGAGGTGAAGTGATCTTTACTTTTTTTTGAGATCACTAGAAACTCTGAATCACTAAAAACTATTTTGAAATTAAATCAGCGGAAAGGGATAGAAATTCCAAATATCCTACAGTCACATAGTTGAATAGGCGTTGATTTTTACTCCGCGATGTTCTCTCTGTGAAAAATCAAAAAATCAAAAGTATGAATTTTTTTCTGAACTGAACTTTTCCTTATGGGAAACAGGCGCTAGCAAACCACAACCGCAGTAGCTTTCTGATACAGGGCACCCTGGCGCTTGTGGAAAACTCTCAACTTCACTTTCAACCCCATTCCTTCTCCGCCGCCCCTCCGTCGACGAGACATTCAATCAAAATCGAAATTAATAAAATTGAAAAGGGGTCGTCTAAGAAGGCACGACGGGGACGGGGTAGTATGTGGAAATCAATCATCGAAAAATGTCACTAGGTCAAATGCGACCACGCTCTTCTTCCCTTGCAGCTGAACGTACCCTACCATACCCCGTCAGACCTGCAGCGAGGAATCCCCCACTTCCCACGTATGACGGTGACTCAATAGTCCGGGCCACCTCTGAGCGAAGTATGTGTATATTATCGCCAGACTGGCAGGACCAGTTGCAGCTGTTGAATAAAAAGATAGATGTGAAGTGGTAGAACTTGTTACAACGAACCCTCAGAGCCTCATTGACCTCGCTGGTTTTCTGAGTTACTGCTTGAGTTGATATGACAATGATGGCACATATGATGTATGATATTAATCGCATGGAACCCTAAATGACACTCAGTATCGAACAATTCTATAAACGTATGTTTTCTTAAGAACTAGTAATTAAGCGTATTTTCTTAAGAACTAGATAATTAAGCGTAATCGACATGGATAATTATGCAATAAATGTTAGCCCACTGGAACGATGAGATGAGACTGGTAGATTAGGAAAATCCAGTTTTCTTCTTCTCTGAAACTAACAGTCGTTCAGTGATGATCCTTAGCTTCGATTTCTTGATTTTCTCGGATAAGGGAAGGTTGCGCAGCCCCTTAAGTATTCTCAGACTGAAATTACAAATGATATTTTCAAATGAAGGAAATATCTATGGAGAACGGCAAGCGAACGGCTTCCTCCCAGAACATGCTTACGCTTAAGAACGAGATTTTCTGACATTACAATAAGGTCTCGGTTGTGCTGTGAAAATATTAAAGTAGATTATCGATTCTTTATTTTCTGAAGAAAAATAAGAACTGTATGAAGTAAAGTACAGAGGGAAGTACAGTAGTAGAGGCTAGCAGTCAAGGGGAATGTGATTATGCTACGTCGAAGAAGAAGTAAAAGCAAGGAATGAATAGAATGGAAGTCGGACAGTAGTCGGCAACGTATCGGCGCCAATCGAGATTCTCCTTCTGATCATAAAGCAATTTCTCAGGTGTGAAGATGGGCAGGGGGGTGAGAAGCGGTTTGGGGATGAATTTCTGTTGCCGTAGGCATCCAGACATATGGCATGAGTCATGCGCGTTCAAGTAGCCAAGGACGTTTGGAAAGACGATCTGCCTTATTCAGCAAAACCCGTTTGCATGACAGGAACCGATCGCCTACACCAGATTGAGGCAACTACTCTTTGCTGTTGAGATGTGTCATTCATTTGTCGTCATTTTGTACTACAATCTGATTTGATGAAAACGTATATTTCTCTGGACCACCAGTGGGGCTTTTTTGTACGCTTGCATGAAGTATTAAATTGACTTCGATGAGTATTCCGTTCAGCGCTGAGTTCGTGCTGTCATTTGAACACGTAGAAGAGCCAGTTTAGACCTTGAACCGCACTTCAATATGCTCTAGTTCCGTTCAAGAAAAGGGCATCTTCCGACCCTCTGCCCGCTGCTCGTACAGGATTCAGCATTGTGGTGGGTGAAATGGCGGGCAGGGCACGCCATCGTTGTGATAATCACAACGGAGGGTCGTATTTGACCGCGAGGGAGGAGGGGGGGGAGGTCGTATTTGGTTTAGGGAAAATTTGTTAATACTATTATTATTATTATAGCTAATATTATAGACTACTATTATAGCTTATTACTCCTTTTTCTGATAGTAGATTTAGTAGTTGGTTGCTGACGACCTCTCCTTTCCCTTCGGAACGTGGTAGGAAGTTAGGAAAATCTAGGAAAATGGTAGATAGGAAGCGGAGGAGGGGGGAGAGTCGTTCTTGATGATGGAGTAGGGGGTCGTATTTTTCAGGAATTCATCACAGCTCGGTATCGTGCTCTGATGGCGGGTCAGAACGACTTACACCCATCCCCCCCCTCCTTCTCAAGTTTTCGTTTTCCAGAACGACCCTCTTCCCATAGGCATCCTGGTACCTTAGCAACTCTTCTTGCTCTCTATCAATTTTATAAGAGGGGTGGTGTTAGATTTTTTCCAATCAATGATCAGAAATAGTAGTTTTGCATATTCAGCAATTACAGCACAGTCTTTTCGCTGCGGATGATGGGGAGTGTCAAGCGGGGACTGGTTTGGCATGGCGCCAACCCGTATTTTTCTATCGGGAAGCGACAGGACTATATCATGTCGTTTTCCATTCTTGGTGACGCTTACTCTCTTGAACAAGTGCTTGAGAACAGGCTGCCGCGCGACGAACCCAGCCCAGCTAAGGTAGAGCGGGGGACGCCGCGCAAATATCAATCATACTCTGCGTAGCACTGAAATGTGAACCCATGCAAGAAAAGTCTGACAAGAGAATCGTAATTCGCCGCGCCAGTGGGCGTCGCGTGCGACGTCGCGCCATTTAATGACGACGATTTTAGGTGGTATTGGTCGAGAATAGACAATGTATGACCAAAAATAGACATAAATGTCCACCATGTCCTTGTCTACATGAAATCCGATGCTCCAATCGAAAGGGTAGTGCAAATAAGGAAACGTCGCGCCCATTGCCGCGCGCGACGAAGCGGCAATTTGCGATTCTCTTACCGTCTGCCCTTCCTGCATGGGAGAGAGTAAGAGAATCGCAGCT